AGTATTCCTAGCTTCTGGTTTTTCAAAAACTGTAAACCAGTTCACTGTAATTTGAAGCACATAAGGTACTTTTACATCTTTATGTTCATTTCTGAGCATTTTATTCTACTTTTCACATTTCAAAAATAATTCCTACTGCATTTTCAGTCCATTGTATCTGAAAATATTTCTACGTGAAAATGTTTTGTTCATTTTTAAATCTGCATCTACCTCCAACAAATATTCCAAAATCAAATTGTTCAAAAATCACTATTCACTTATTTATAATTTTTCTTGGCAGTCATTTCACGATTTGTTCAGGTACTTCCTTCCTCTAAGCCATTTTTTTAAAAAATCTTTTTCAGTCAGTGACTCTTAATAACTTTTTATAACTAAATTATTTAAATAAATGGGAAATATAATACTGCTTGGATTGAAAGGCACAACCTTATGATTACTCTAATACAAAATAAATGAAAAATTAGGTAAATTATCCCACTTATTTCAGATTCTAAGGTTAATCTAAAATTTAAAAATGTTATAACCTAGGGGATCCCTGGGTGGCGCAGTGGTTTGGCACCTGCCTTTGGCCCAGGGCGCGATCCTGAAGACCAGGGATCGAGTCCCACGTCGGGCTCCGGGTGCATGGAGCCTGCTTCTCCCTCTGCCTGTGTCTCTGCCTCTCTCTCCCTCTCTCTGTGTGACTATGATAAATTAAAAAAAAAAAAATTTAAAAATGTTATAACCTAAAAAAGCATTAAGCTTTAGAAGTTAGATAAATCATTTTAAAAATTGTGGAAGAGCTGGGGGAAGAAGGGAATGGGCAGTTATTGTTTAATGCATACAGTTTCAGTTTTGCAAGATGAAGAGTTCTGAATGTGGAGAGTGGCAAAGTTGCTTAACAATGTAAAAGTACTTAATAACCCTGAACTATACACTTAAAAATGTATGAAATTAAAATTATGAAATTAAAAATCATGAAATTCTATGTTATCTGTATTTTAAGTAAGAATATTTAAAAAGTTATCTAATAGTTATTAAAGTATCCTAAAGTGCATAAAAGTCACTGCTACTTAAGTAAGTGATTATTGGTATTCATTCTCAGGGAAAAACTCAAATTGAGACAGAAACCCAATTAAAACATGGCCAAACAACTAAAGCAGATATAACTGCTAGAAATATTAGTAGAGGAAAATGATCTGAAGAACAAAAATGTCAGCAGTCATAAAAAACATTTAGAAAAAAAGTGCAAGCTGTCGTTTACATAATTTGATAGAAGGGACCATGATGCTGTTTTGAACTTAACAGAATGCGTTTTAACGGGATTTATATTGGTACATGTCTGACAATTTTGTGAATTATTCAAACATTTTTGCCTCTTCTCAGGGAGCCAGACTCCTTCAAAACAGAGTAAGGAAAAAACCAATCAACTATTGAAGTCAATACAGCCCTTTGTCTGCAAGACTAAGTTAAAAAAAGTTACATATAAGTATTACTCAAAAGAGGAATCCCAGTCAGCTTGTAGATTTCTATTGCAGTATAGTTAGGTAGCAGAGTTGTAATTCCAGATTTAATATTCACTAGCTGTATAATCTTGGGCAAATTTCTCTGTGCCATAGTTTATCTCTAAAATAATTATTCCACCTACCTCAGAGATAGGCTTGAGTACACGTGTATACACGTATATATGCAAAAACACATAACAGGCCTGATACACAGTAGGTACAATATATGTGTATATCACTACTATTATAGTGTTATCATCATTACTACTATTTATCCCACAGATTCCAGTTATAAACTAGTTAAGCTGGAGTCTTTACAGAGAAATGCACGCAAGTAAAAGATCTTGAACACAAGTGCGAAAAACTTAGATTCCAGGTTAGAGAAGCCCTACCAAAGATGATCCACAAGCAACTTGGTTTACAGTAAAGTGGTTCCTAACCTGTCTTCTGCAGTGGACCTCTTCGGTAGCCCAATTAATCTGTATATCTCTTCTCAAAATTATTTAAGTCTTGAAATGCACAGGATCACAAAATAAACCAATTATATTATCGTTATCAAAATATTTTTAAACTCCTACTTTAGTAATGTGCTTTACTAACGCATTAAATAATAAGACTTTTAAACATATAACAAGGAGAAATTAACATTAACAGTACTTCAAGATACCTGCAAATACTGTAATATATGAAAATATTTCTCTTGTTGCATCCATTAAAATTTCAAGAATTTTCAATTCTCATCAATTCTAGAATTAGAAGCTAGTCAAAATAAACAGGCAAATTTTTTCCCTCAACGAAGTTCACAGACTTCCTCAATTCTAACCAGAGACCCAGATTAAGAATCCTTGGCTTCGGAGAAAGTGCAAAAATAAGTCCTGGAGCCAGAGACTTGTGTTCTAGACACCAGACTTCAGACTTTAGTCCCACATTATTTGCACCCGAATGACCTCAGACATCAGACTGAGCTTTGGTTCACTCATTTAGAACTTAAATTCTAAAAGTTATTCCTATAGTTGTAAGGATCAAACATTAGCTAACAAAATGCCACATGACCAGTGTTATTTTTTTTTTTACTGATTTTAATACCATATATTCAGCCCCAAATGTTTAGTGTCCTTGTTAACTTTCAATAACTCATTACAGGAGAAAAGTTAAAAACCACATACCAATTCACAAATAATTAATGGAAATATTAATTTAACAGTTTAATAAGAACCATGATTTGGCACCAGAATGACACGTATCTAAATCCCAATTCCAAGACTTCACTTCTAAGTTACTTCACCTCTCCACTTAAGTTTTCTCATCTGTAAAACATTGCAATGTTGTTTTAGAAACAAGAGAGGATCTAGCTTAAACACTCAATAAATGGAGCGATTATTAAAGTTCACATTTTCACAAAGCAAAGGAATCAATTTGGAACTCAAAAGTTTATTTTGGAATTCAGTTAATATAAATAAAACTTCACATTATCTTGCCCAGCAAAACACATACACACTTAAAACCTGAAGCATTTGCATGGCATAACGTTTCTAATACAAATTTGCACGGTTTAAAATCTTACCTGATTTCTTATCCTGCCAAAAACAAAAACAAAAAAACACACACAAAAAAAAACCCCTACAATGAGAATAAAAAAACGGTAAACAGAATGGGTTCAGCAATCTCAAATCTTCTCATGATTTACTTGGGAGTGTTCCAGTGAATGTTTATTATCAAGGTCGGACATATACTAAGGTAGTTGTGTCTCTTTAAAACGCCAATTTAAAGATCTCAAATTTACTAGCTACACACTGTCGGTTAGATTTAAAAAAAAAAAATTATAGCATGTTATTTACTTTATGCCGGAATATTACGGAGTAAGATCCATGCCACCCTCGGGGGTGGGGGGAGGTGGGGGGTGGGGGAAGGGTGGGCGGGGGGAACCCGCCACAGACTTGTCTCCAGCTTCCTGATCCATTATACAACCTGTAAATTCCTCCCCTCATTGAAAAGATTCTTTTTATGGGCATAGTTAACAAGTGCCAAGTTGCGAAGTTGCAGCTTTGCTGGTTTGACGTTTTCACAATGCAAGAACAATATGATCTGGAATCTACTCAAAAGCATTTAGCCAGGCAGTCAGCTGATGCTCACCGCACACAAGAGAAAAGACACAAATAAGAGAAATTAAACCTCGTATTTGTGTAGAGCAAGTAGCCACTACCTTTAAAACTAAAATAGGCCAGGCGCAGCAGACGTTCCAGTTTAAAAAAAAAAAAAAAAAGTACTTCTATTGTTGGAAAGATTAAAAACAAACAAACAAACAAAAAAAAAACCCTCGGCCTTCCTCGGACTTGGTTTCTCTCATTCTTGGAATTTTCCTCGTATGAGGGCTTTTTATCCGTTCATAAAACCGAACCCTCATCACGCAGCCACGGCCCCGAATAACTTTTACGAAAGGTCAAAGCGGTGCCTTTCAAGGCTCCCAACGCCTAGTGGCGTCTCCTCCGTTCGCAGTAATTCGCCTTCCACCCACAGAACGTTCCAGAGACTTAGGGACCGGGACCAAACAAAATTTGGGGGGGGGCTGCTGAAGAGACGCTTTCAACTTTCTCCTCATCACTCGCAGGCCGGATTTCACCTTCCTCCCTCCGCGGCCCCACATGTTGCTGCTTCCCTCCCAGAGGGCCCCGCGAGACCTCGCTGCCCCCCACCCCCCCCCAGCCCAACGCGCCCACCTGATTACCCTTTTCTCCGTAGACTCCGCCCCTGCCCTCCCCCCACCCCCCCCCCACCCCGCCGCCTCCTCTCGGAGGTCCATATGGGACACTTTCCCCTTCCTCTGATTCCCACCTCACGCTAGACAAGCCTGGATTCGCCACCTCCAATCCTCCCCCGCCACGGCCCTCACTTCCCACAGCCTCCCGAAGAGCCGTGGGAGCGCGGCGTGGAGCCGCAGGCCTGCACGGCCCAGGTGCTGTGTCAGCCTATCTGCCGGTTCCGCGGCGTGTACGGCCTGGAAAGTCACATGGCGGTAGGACCGGCCGGCGCCTCCACACTCCGGCTCTCCTCACGGCAGGACGACGTTACCAAGTCCACTCACCTCCACGAAGAGCAACATGTCTTCCTCCGCTCGGCCCAGTCGTTCTCGCCGCCGCGACTCCAACGGGCTTACAAGGCCCGAGCCCCAATCGCTAGGATAAGGACACTCGCCTGGCCCCTCCACCCGGCAGTGGACCCGGCTCCTCCCCCGCCGTCAGCCGCTGCGGCCTGACCCGCCCAGTCCCACCTCCCTTGAAAGAGCAACTGTTTCCGGTTCTGCAAGAACAATCGCTTCCGGGACAAGAGAAACCCCTCGGCGCGCTCAACTTTTGCGCTACCTTTTCCAGCGGCAGCCCGGGAGGTACTATCTTCAGTCCGCGGGGGGGGGGGAGGGGGGCGGGGAAGGGAAGCGATCAGCGGAAAGCACCATTCTGTGCCAAGGCGGGGGGGGGAGTGTAAAAATCCTACGGACGCGTTTTATGTCTCGCCCAACGGATGGCTGCCGCTGCCGTAGTGATTACGCAGCTTTCCATCGTGCAAAATCTAGATCCTGTAAAGATCTGGACGGGACGGACCTCCAGTCCTTCGGAAAAGGTGGTGGCTCTCAGGAAAAAAGTAGAGAAGGAAAAGAAACAAGCAGCGGTAACAGTAAATGCATTAATACCGGCTGCTGTCTATTCAGTGCTTACTGTGTGCCTGGCGTTAGTCTAAATATTTTATGTGGATTCATCGGTAAGAAACCTTATGCAATAGATTTTTATCCCCATTTTGCAATTCAAGGAGCCCTTTAGGAGAGCGAATTTCCTTCAGGCACGCCTTTAAAGAACTTTGCCCCCTGTTAACTTAAACCAGGTAACCCACCTCTGTGCTACTCAGTGCTTAGTCTGGACACCCTCCTGGTTGATGTTCTGTCGCTGTCACTTCCAAAGAAGTACAATAAAAACAAAAACCTTAAAAAATGGTCTTTATACTTTTCTGTTACCGTGATCCAAATTCCTCATTTTCTTCGGCAGCGCCTAGGTAAGCGTCGCCCCTCCTCCGCAGTCCCACTTCTACATCCTATGTCAGACACTTATCCTTTGAAATAATGGTTTTGACCTTTTGCACTGATTTTTCCCCATTCCATTATTTCAAAGGTCTTTCCGAATTAAAGGTTTCATTTTCACCAGTTGCTGTGACTTGCTTTCAAGACCTTAACCGTTCTGATCCCGTGTAATCTCCCTTTAGCTCCAATGAATCTACTCACTTTCTCACTTGAATACCAAAGGAATTGCTCCGTCAAATTCCTGATGTTTCGTGTGCCATCACTCCCCCCAATCTGGTCCACAGTAAACTCCACATTACTTCATCTCAGTTGAACCATTGTCACCTTTCCCCTGAAAGACAAACTCAACACTCACCTCTAAAGCCATGGCTCAAGGTGTCTTCACTATCTGGAACGCTTTCATTTGTCAATCAGCCTTCTCTCTCCATAAGGTTTTCCCAAAGACACTGCTCCCCACAAATTTCTTCTTCATGTCCCTTATTAGCCCTTGAATATTCTATTTTAAATTATTTTCTTTTTCTTTTTTTTTTTTCGTGTTTTAGTTTCTTCACAGGTATCCTATCATATATTCTTCACAGTCTAGGATAATGGTGGTCACATACTAGTATCTCTCATCAAATGCTTGCCAAGTTGAAAAGGAAGGAGGGATCTTTAAATTTTTGCTTTAAAAAGCCTTCATTTCCAGTTGCTGACAAATTCCATGCTGCAATAAAAAATATGAGAGAGGGAGAGAGCACAATAATGCTAAATTAGTTTAGTTGACAAGCATGTAGGCGGCTTTGCGAATGCCTACTGGGGTAAGCAATGTAAAAAAAAAATCAAGAGAAAGGAAAGTTATTTAAGGATCTCATAATCTAATATCAACAAAGTAAACAGATTAATTGATAAGTTCAAGAAATGCTGGATAGTGATGGATATTTTAATCAAACTTTTATCAAAATGATTCTTAATTGCGGTCCTTTCAGAAAACATTTTTAGGGATCCCTGGGTGGCGCAGCAGTTTGGTGCCTGCCTTTGGCCCGGGGCGCGAACCTGGAGACCCGGGGTCGAATCCCACGTCAGGCTCCCTGCATGGAGCCTGCTTCTCCCTCTGCCTGTGTCTCTGCCTCTCTGTCTCTCTCTGTGTGACTATCATGAATGAATAAATAAATAAAATCTTAAAAAAAATAAAAAAATAAAAATAAATAAAAATATTTTAAAAAAAGAAAACATTTTTAACTTCCTTGAATGGACTTAATTGTGATTTATAGGAAAGGAGGGAGTAATTTTTATGACTGGGTTGGGTGGAGGCAATCTAACAATAACAGAAAGTGTTCTGTGGCTTAGGAAATTTCTGTAGGAATTGAGTCTGAAATAATAATGAATATCCAAATTTTAGAAAGTTTCTGTGGAGGAACTGAGGAAGAATATGTCAAATGTCTAAAACAAACAAAACCCCTAAATCATAAACCCCTGTTTTTGAGAAGTTCACCAACTAATGGACAGAGACAGATAATAGTTACATTTCAATGAGATAAGTACTGTAATAGAAAGTTTACAGTGTTTTGGGAACAAAGCGGGGAGGTAACTTAGACAATGGGATATTAGAAGGGAGAATATTTAATTTGCTGTTTCTATATTGAGTGATTTCTTAAAAGACAACTACTTTATTTTCCCCTATCTCCCATTCTCTGAAGGACTGAAATACATAAATTGTTTAACTTTACAAGTTTACAGCAAGGACTCAACATAAGACTTAAGTTTACAGTAAGAACTCAACATAGGAAGTTCTTGTAGAGAAATTGAGTTATATATCCATAATTTATAAAATCTAAAACCTACAAAATATTTAGTTTATGAATACATACACCTACAGTAAAACTATATAAACAGAGACTAGACATAAATATATCAATACATTCATGACTGCCATTGTCTCCGAAAAGGGACAGAGGGGAAGGAAGGAGTCTAGGGAGAACACCAAAAGGGACTCCAGCTTTATCTCTAATGCTTTATTTTATTTAAAAATTTCTGAAGCAAATATGACAAAATCTTAATACTTGTTCATTCTATGTGATAGGCACATGGCTATTTGTTATATATATTACTTTCTGTACTGTTTCGTATTTTTTTAGTTAAAAATTTTTTTAAAAGCTACATAGCCAACAAAACCATCCTGTCCTTTCATTGCTCCAGTGTCCTAAATCCTTTCACGTCCTCTGCAATCAAAGGAGCTACCCAGACTACTCCTCTGTCAGTTACAAAGCAGCGTCCAGTGTTCCCTTCAATTTCTCCAGCCAACTATGGAATTTCAAAACTTTCTTCAGTCAGGTTCCTTGGAAAAATGAGTTAACTAGGCTGTGCAAAGAGTGTGATCTTCATCCATATAATAGCTTCCAGGGCAGCCCAGGTGGCTCAGCGGTTTAACGCCACCTTCAGCCCAGGGCCTGATCCTGGAGGCCCAGGATCCAGTCCCATGTTGGGCTCCCTGCAGGGAACCTGCTTCTCCCTCTGCCTGTGTCTCTGCCTCTCTCTCTTTCTCTCTCTCTCTTTGTGTCTCTCATAAAATAATAAATAAATAAATAAATAAATAAACTCTTTAATATCACCTTTAAAAAAATAGCTTCCAAATTATTGCATATCTAGAACAAGTTGAGGGGCAGCTGAGGACATTGTAACACAACTAATCCATTACACGCTTAAAAATTCTTAAAACCTCAGGAAGAGAGAAGAATCAGGAGTTACATTTGATATACTGGCCTTGAATTCTAACACCTAGATTTTAAGCTTATTTAAGCAGGGCTCTATCTTCTATTTCTTTTAGCGTTCCTGTTGTCTATTCTTTCCTACCCACCCTCCCCCCTTCACCCTTCTACCATCACAGCATATAGAATGCCTAGTTCACTGCATTATAGTAAGCACTCTTGAAATGTTTAGGTCACTGATGTCACAATGGATCTATTATGACATCACCAGGACTGGAATACCATGGTTATTAACAGGGTAAACCACAACCTCTGGGAGCAGGAAAGACCTCTTCTAGCTTCCTTGTGGACACCTTTATTAGCATTTGCCTATATTCTGTGAAAAAAGAAATAAAAGAAAATCATTCAACTTTTCAAAATATTTATCAAAATGCAAAGTCAGATAGACAGCAAACCTGAATCAGAAAAAGAAGTTGCGGATTCCACCATCATGTACAGAAAAGCCTTTTATAAACCAGAAGTCCCTGAGCTGGAGATCCCATTTGCAGTACAGGATATCATCTCTAGGATTGAACAAGCACAGCTTCATCGAGCCAGAGAGGTAGGTCATAAATGAGAAGTTTACAGATTATAGCTGTTTTTTAACTTTCAATGAAGAGTTACATTTTTTGGAACTCATTTTATTTTCATGATCTTTGTGTTTGAGATAATTTTTATTTCAAATGACAATTTCACCCGACTGTGGGAACAAGCTTCAATTTTATGTTAGTCTCTGTTACTTTCCTATCAGAATTAATCAAGCCTTTTAAGAAATAAATCACATGTGCTATTGAGTGATTGGGATGGAAAGAAAAGTTAAAATATGTAGCTATTAGTGATATCTAATTTCAGTCAATAGTTTTCATTTGTTCTTAACTAAACTTTTGTCAAATAGTTGTTAACGAGAAGAAACATAATTAGATTTGAATTCTAGCTCCCTTTATTTCCCTTGATCACCTCATGGAAGGGAGATTTATTGGCCAACAGAAACCCAATGAACAAAAACCTTGACTAATATAACAACCCAATAAATCCCAAACAATTAAGGTATCTATTTTCTCAAACAGAATACAACAAAATCAGTCGGGTTAAAAGAAATTAATTCAGGTAAGTTTTTTCATTTAAGGAGTGCTAAATATTTGTACTTTCCCATTCTCCTCGTAAACTTACTCCTGCTCCAACTCCTCACAACTAACAATGACCTGGTGTTTGCTTTTAACATCTTTATTGAGGTATAATTGACACATAGTAAGCTGTATATATTTTTAAGTATACAAGTTTTGATATACATAAACACCTATGAAAACTTCATCACAATTGGGGTGCCTGGGTGGCTCAGTGATTGAGCCTTTGCCTTTGGCTGAGGGTGTGATCCCGGCATCCTAGGATCGGGCCCCACATCAACCTCATTTCTACCTCTTCCTCTGTCTATGTCTCTGCCTCTCTCTGTGTGTCTCTCATGAATAAATAAATACTTAAAAAAAAACTTTATCACATTCATCAACATAATGAATTTACCCATCACCCCAAAAAGTTTCCTAACGCTTAGTTCAATTCCTCCCACACACCCTTCCTAAATTTCCCACCCCAATCTCTAGGCAGCTGCTGATATGCCTTCTGTCACTATAGATTATTTTGCATTTTTAAAAGAATTTTTTATGTAAGTGGAATCGTATAGCATCTACTTTTTAAAAAAAATGGAGGATTATTCCTCTATTGGAATAATCATGTGGGTTTTGTTTTTTTGTTTTTTTTTGTTTTTTTGTTTTTTTTTTTTGGCTGAGGCAGAGACACAGGCAGAGGGAGAAGCAGGCTTCATGCAGAGAGCCTGACGTGGGACTCAATCTCAGGACTCCAGGATCACGCCCTGGGCCAAAGGCGGGCGCTAAACCGCTGAGCCACCCAGGGATTCCTCTCTTTTCTGCTTTCCAAAGATAAATTGACAGTCTAGTTGTGGGTTCATTTCTGGGTTTTCTATTCTGTTCCACTAAACTATGTGTCTAGTTTTGTGCCAGTACCACCATCAGGGAAATACAGATCAAAACTACATGAGATTCACCTCACACCTGTCAGAACGGCTAGAATTAACAACTCAGGAAACAACAGACGTTGGCAAGGATGTGGATAAAGGGGAACCCTCTTGCACTGTTGGTGGGAATGCAAACTGTTACAGCCACTCTGGAAAACACTATGCAGACTACTCTAAAAGTTAAAAATTGAACTATCCTATGACCCAGCAATGTCACTACTAAGTATTTACCCAAAGGATACAAAAATACTGATTTGAAGGGGTACATGTGCCCCTATACTCAAAGCAGCATTATCCACAATAGACACATTATGGAAAAAGCCCAAATGTCCATCAGGTGGTAAATGAAAAAAGAAAATGTGATATACATATATAATGGAATATTACTCAGGCATAAAAAAAGTGAAAATTTGAATTTGCAACCATGTACATGGAGCTAGAGAGTAGTATGCTAAGTGAAATAAGTGAGAGAAAGATAAATACCATATTATTTTACTCATATGTGGAATTTAAGAAACAAAACAAATGAACATGGTTGTGGGGGAGGGAAAGAGGCAAAGTAAGTGACAGATGCTTAACTATAGAGAACAAACTGATGGTTACCAGAGGGGAGGTGGGTGGGAGGATGGGTTAAATAGAGGATAGGGATTAAGGTGTGTACTTGTAAGGAGCACCAGGTATTTTGTGGAAGTGTGGAATGACAATATTGTACACCTGAAAATAATATTACACTGCATGTTAGCTAACTGGAATTTAAATTAAAACTTTTTAAAAAGCGGTTATATTACCACAAGCAGTATATGAGATTTTCAGTTGCTCTACATATTTATCAACACTTGATGTCAATCTTTTTAATTTTAACCATTCCAAAGGTATATAATAGTATCCCATTGTGGTTCTAATTTTCACTTTCATAATGACTAATGATTTTGAACAACTTTCCATAAGTGTATTTGCACTTGGTAGGTCTTCTTTGGTAGTTCAAATATTTTGACCATATTTTAAATGTTTATTGGTCTATGGGCTTATTACGGAGTTTTAGGTATTTTTATGTATTCTGATTACAACTTTTATCAGAGAACCAATTTGCAAATATTTTTTTCCCGTTCTGTGGCTTGTCTTTTTCTTCTACTAATTGTGTCTTTCAGAGAACAAAACTTGTCAAAAACAAACAAACAAAAAGAACAAAACTCCTTAGTCCAATTTATCAGTGTTTCTTTCTTTCAAAGCAAACTTTGACTAACCCAACGTCACAAACATTTTCTCTTATGTATTCTAGGAGTTTTATAATTATACATTTTACATTTAGATCTATGGTTCATTTTGTCTAAATCTTTGTATATGATGTCAGATATTGATTGAGATATTGTTTTTTTCTTAAACAATTATTCTAGATCCATTTATTGAAAAGACTATCCCTTCTCATTGCATTGCATTGCACCTTTACTGAAAAATCAATTGACCATATATGTATGAGTTTATGGACTCTCTAGTCTGTCCTCTTGATCTATTTATCTATGTTTATGCTAACACTACAATGTCTTGACTACTGAGGTTTTATAATACTTGACATCATGTACTTTTAGTTCTCCAACTTTGTTCTTTTTCAATTATGCCCAACTTCTCTCACATCTTCCTTTTATCCCCATTTCATCTACTTGGGCTTCTTTCTCTGGAGTGACACACTCAAACACTCATAACCTAAAAACTATATTGACACTGCTTTCTCCCTTTGCATTTCCATGTAAAATTTAGAATAAGCCTGTCAAATTCTACTGGGGGAAAAAGCCTGCTGGTATAGATCAATTTGGGGAGAATTCAGAATTAACAATATTGAGTCTTCTGACCTATGAACATAGCATATCTCTGTTTTTATTTAGGTAGGTTTAATAAGCACTTCTTAGAAGTGCTAGATCTTGAATATCTGTTGTTAGATTTGCCCCTAAGTATTTCATATTTTTTTACTCTTGTGAATAGTATTGCTTTTTGATTTCCATTCTCAATTTTTCACACTAATATATAGAAATACAACAGGTTTTTGTATGTTCCTCTTGTATAATAGATTTTCTTCACACTTACCTTCAGATTTTCTACAGAGACAACCCTGTTATATGCTAATAGAAGCAGTCTGATTCCCTCTTTCATTTCTGTGTGCTTTTCAACTTTGTTTTTTTGGGGGAGGGAGGAAAATAAACAAACCTCCTTTTTAACTTAGTAGTCAGGCAAGGAACTTCAGTATAAAGTTGAATAGTAGTGGTGAGACATCCTTGCTTTCTTCTTGGTGCTAGGGAAAAACATTCAGTCTTCCCCCATTCAGTATGATAGTAGCAGTATATTTTTTAATGATGTTCTTTATCAAGTTGGGGAAATTCTCATCTTTACCCAGCTTGCTGATATTTTTAATCAGGAATAGATACCTGGTTTTATAAAAATGTTTTACTACCTCTATTGGAATAATCATGTGGGATTTTTTTTTCGTCTTTTCAAATCTGTTAAAATAGTGAATTACATTGATTTATGACTGATAAAACAACCTTGCATTTTTTGGGTAAATTCCATTTACTCATAATGTAGCATTCTTTTTATTATCTTGTATTCAATTTGCTAAAATTTTGTTAATTTTTGTGTCTGTGTTTAAAAAACATATTGGTCTGTAGTTTTCTTTTAATACCTTGGTTTTGGCATCAGACTAATGCTAGCTTTATAAACTCAGGTAGAATATTCATTTCAATTTTCTGTAAGACTTTTGAGAATTGTCATTTCCTTTTATGTTTGGTAGAAACCACTAAGTATTTGGGTTGGGTAGGGAGAAATAGCCAGTGGAACCATCTAGACTTGTGGCTTAATTCATGGGAAAGTTTTAAACTACAAATTCAATTTAAAAAACTCTATAGGGGGATCCCTGGGTGGCGCAGCGGTTTGGCGCCTGCCTTTGGCCCAGGGCGCGATCCTGGAGACCCCGGATCGAATCCCACGTCGGGCTCCCGGTGCATGGAGCCTGCTTCTCCCTCTGCCTGTGTCTCTGCCTCTCTCTCTTTCTGTGTGTGACTATCATAAATAAATAAAAAATTTAAAAAAAAATGGAAAAAAAATAAAAAATAAAAAACTCTATAGGGATCCCTGGGTGGCGCAGCGGTTTAGCGCCTGCCTTTGGCCCAGGGCGCAATCCTGGAGACCCGGGATCGAATCCCACGTCGGGCTCCCGGTGCATGGAGCCTGCTTCTCCCTCTGCCTATGTCTCTGCCTCTCTCTCTCTCTCTCTCTCTGTGTGACTATCATAAAATAAATAAAAAAAAATAAAAAAAAACTCTATATTCAGGTTATCCAGCATCTTTTTTAAAAAAGATTTTATTTATTATTTATTTATTTGAGAGAGAGACAGAGTACAAGCAAGGGATGGGGGCAGAGAGGGAGGGACAAGCAGACTCCTCACTGAGTGGGGAGCCTGTTGCGGGACTTGATCCTGGGACTCCAAGATTGGGACCTGAGCTGAAGTCCAACACTTCACCTGTTGAGCCACCCAGCCACCCCTC